TGGTTTCAATCAATATTTTCCTGCTTTCCTAGGGAATTATTGCCACAGATTTAAGCCTCTAAGGCAGACCATTACTTCATTTTGTCATCAAACGAACTTTTCCACGTTAAACTGCCAGAGTCAACTGAGAAAGTCCCAAATTTAGTCTCAGGCGTCAGAGTTGGTAATTTCACACACACACACACACACACACACACATGCACACACAAAACCTCACCTCCTGAAGAACTGCGAGATTATTCAAGTGTTATAGATTGTAAGATTAGAGGATTTTGTTGCATGTATAGTGTGTTGTTTTTGGTTGTTTTTTTTTTTTGTGTAAATTTGACCATGTCTCTTTAGGTTTCTTTGGGTAGTATGTAGACAACACAGAAAGCATAGAGTCAATCCATCACACTTTAGGAAAAACAGAACTGTACAATGGTTATGGTTCGTGTTCATCTTTAAATAGTGTAGTTCTACATTGAATGTATTTACATTCTTGTTTCCTTTCTGCCTAGGTCTAAAATATGAGCCACCAATACGAGTGTGCAGGTCTTATAATGCTGCTTTTTTTTTTTTAACAAAACTCATACAAACATATATACAAAAAACGTTAATTCGGTAAACAAATAATCATATTTTGTCACCTTTCTTTTTTTTTTTAAACACTGGCAGAGGTTTTTTTTCGAGACATTCATTTTGCTGTAGAAGACATTAGAAGCGTCAATCAGGTCTACTGTGCGGCTATTTGGTTTTTCAAGCATGGCTGTTTGTGTTGTCTTTCTTTAATTGCTCCCAAGTATGATATTCAACTAAATGGGCGTAGGTTTTAAGGAAAGTGGCGCAAGAGGATCTTTATATTTTATTGTATATATTTATATGTTTTGTTTGGCGGTGGACCATAGATTTGATTCTAATGTAAAATATAGACTGGATTCAAGAAAGGTCGCGTTTAGGAAAGGGAACGTGACCTACTAATCATTGTGACACAGCCACACCACTGCACACAACCAAATGTGACCTCTGCTGGTGGACTCAAACCTGAAACCTTCCGAACCCACGTCCACTTCCTTAATCACTAAGCCACCACTGCCAGACCAGAGGACCGGAGACAAGGACCAGAGCTGTCGTGATCATGCTTAGCTTTGACCGGAAAAAAAAAAAAAAACAAATCTTGCATTCTTTAAATATCCTGATAATTATTTAAATAATTACTGTAATAATAGAAAGGGGTTTTTTTTTTGACATGCAAAACAGCTGAACATGCCTGGATTTTAAACCCATTTTTCCCCACTTTCTTTTTTTCTTTCCTGAATTGTATTGTTTTGCGATGGACATTTCTAAAGCCTTTATGGTTTCCTTTGTCTGGATTTCATGGAGCACAGGCACAGACGGAGGACAGAAACGACAGAAAAAGGAATCACTGGGGTGTCCATGGGGGTGAAGAGGAGGGGCTAGGTGGTCGGCGGACTGGTGGCATGTCATAGTGTCCCGGGATGTGGCTGTTAACAGGGAGGTCATAGTGGCTCTGAGGGTCCTCGTGTGGTGCATGGCCGAGGGAGCTCTGACGCTCTTGAGATGAGAAAAAAAAAAAACAGAAAGGTTAGAGTTGAAATCTTAAGTCAGCACAGATTTTGGCTAATGGCTTTAAGGCACTTTAGGAACAACAAGGCTAACAACTCCACAAAATCAAATTTTTACCTTTTTACCTTTAACTTCTAAACACATCATGTAAAAGTCAAGCTGCCTACACACAAAAATTCAAAGAAAAATGCCAAACACCAAGGATCTTCCAATGGAATATGCTACGCTTGACATACAGTAAGTGGACCACTGCTGTAATGCTTGAATGATAACAAGCCTCCAGTCACTAGGGGGCAGCAACTGATACTGATTTGTGTCCCCAAGGGACACGCAGTGCTTCTCAAATAGTGGGGCGCGGACAGAATATAGCTTATCACAATAACGCAGTGCTTCTCAAATAGTGGAGTCCACGGTAAGGTGCCTTTTGGTATTTGGTCTTTATTCATGCTTGAACGATAAACAAGCCTCTGGCCAGTAGATGGCAGCAGAGCAGGGTATATTATTCAAAATATCAGTATGCAAAATGTCTCATGCCAGCGACTCATGGAGTGGTTTGTACCAATAAATATTACCAGGCACTTGATACATAATTCAATGTTGGCGTGAAAAAACTTCTGTCTGGGAAATAATTGCGAAACCCTGCAATAACGACGACCTATTTGGATTGTAAATTACCTCTGCGTAAAGCGGTGCTGTTGAATGGCACGGAGCTGATCTCCGTGTACGCTCGCTCTCGAGGCACGGCAGACTTCATCTCCATGTAACTGCTCTCAGGGTGGCTGAAAGGTAGGCCCGGCAGGTCTTTGATGGTAGCATAGGGATTCTCACTGTTCAGAGAGCTGCTGCTCACAGCTAATGTGCCGTTCAGCTCCGTTAACACTGGAGGTTTAAAAAAAAAAAAGGGGTCAAATCATCAGTGGAACGTATGGAAAACAAAAAAGACGCTGAACTGAGTTTGTACTGTATTTTCTGGACTACAAGTCGCACCTTTTAGCATTCTTTCGCTGGGTTAGCAACTTCTACTCAGGTGTGACATATATTAAAATACTGTATATAATTTCACGTTTGTTATTTTTCACACTGACCGCCGCTAGAGGGCACTCTAGGCTTGTGTACCAGTATCTGCTACTCCTGTACCACTGAAAATGTACATGCTGGTTATTTTCACATTGACAGCCGCTAGAGTGCACTCTAGCTGGCTGGTGATAGTATTACCTGAGTGCTCGTAAAATATATATAATATATATATTTATATTATATATATAAATATTATATATTTTAATATATAAATCGCACATGAGTATGCACCCGGCCAAAAAAAATGTGACTTATAGTTCCGAAAATACGGTAGAATTCATATAAATATTATGAAAGCAATCATTTTCAAAAGTACATTTGTGGGTCATTTGGTTCACATCAAAGGCCCCAACGTTACAAAAGTAAAGAAGAACAGCGATGGATAAAAGTCAGTGAGTTAGAAAGTGCGTGCAGTGTCAGCAAACGGCACTTAATATATACGCACCATTGATTAAATACGTTGAAATAATACTCAAAAAAGAGAAGATAAGAGTACGCCGAATATCATAGATATTAGAAGAACATTTTTTTTCATAGTCCCTAGGAAATCCTACTTGATTCTGCGAAACTAATACAAACTCACAAATCACAAGATTCATACTGTTTGAAAACACCTTTTCTCTTCCATAAATCCAGAACTTCAATGCCTCAATGTCAAGGTCGAAGAAGGGACAGGAAAAAAGGTTGTAAAAGTGCAAACTACCTTTGTTATAATTTTTCCCAAGGCTGGCGCTGTAGCTGTAGTGTCGGTCGAACCCAAAAGCTTCTGCAACCAATAAAAGGCAGACACTGCATCTTCATTGAAACAAAATGAATCGAAAGCAGATAATCTTCGGAATTCGCTCCAAAATCAGGACCAGGTGAGCATGGAAAGACAAGCAGTGCTGCTATTACTTTTTACGGAGTTTTCTTTTATAGACTCTAATGATGTGCACCGTTAACTAAGGTAATTCATGTATAAAGCGGTGATGTGATAATTGAAGGTCCCCCCCCCCCGATGCTTTTTTTTACAATCCTACAGTTGTTTTCAATTACTCGTCTTCACCTTTATGACTGTTCTCACACACAAACAAACTGTCGACCGTAAGGGAAAAACTCTTCAATGTCACTGATCATATTAATCATTATCAAAGGCCTTAGCCAAGGTTGGTTGACATGTAAACAAAACGTTGTCTTCCTGTTTTGAATGATACATAATGTGTCAGAGTTCTTCAAATAAAATGAAATGTTCAATGCCGAGCTATCGTCGGACCAACCTGTTTCTTTGTGGAGCTCGCGGTGCTTCCAGTCTGCAGGCAAAGTAGCATTGCTCTCGACCCCGAACAGACCTCGTCTCTCTCGCTCCATGTTTTTTACACTGCAGAAAACCTGGTTATTGTTGTTCTGTATGGTCGGATACAAAAGTTAAGAAAACAAATATAAATATGATGACAGTGTGGAGGGCTCTCAGTAAGGAAAGGAATAAGCAGTAAGACAATTGAAGACACTCAGAGTAGTAAAAGCTGATTAAAGTAGATAAACGCAATAATTAAAAGTAATGATAAATGTTACACCTAAATCTCCTAAAATAAAACAGCGTAGTCAAAGCTAACAGGCGATGCATAAAAGTAACGGTAAACATAAATAAATCGATAAATAACTCAATAAATAAATAAATAGATCTAATAATCGATTAAAGCAGAGATAAGAGGTTAAAAGGATGGAGAAGGAATACATTTAAATCAATTACCGTCATTTCTGGACTAAAAGCTGCTTTTTTTTTTACCCTGCGACTTAAACAATGACGCGGCTAATTTATACATTTTTACAGGCTAAAGAAGTTCATACCTCTAGCGATCAACAACTTTTCTGGTAGGCTACTGTGTGTTATACTAGTAGCGTACGTCTGTCTGTGAATGGCTGTGTGCGTATATGTGCGTGGGGCGAGTGAGTGAGAGAGAGAGAGAGAGAACGGTAGCAAAAGTTGAGACCAGTTTGTCATGTTGTAGCGTGAGTTGGTTATACAGGAGCTGTAATTTCCGGTCTGTAAGCCGCTACGATTTTCACACGTTTTGACCCTCCTTGAACGATGTGGCTAATTTATGGATTTTTACGGGCTAACGAACGTCATACCACTAGCGACCGATTTCTGTGATAAGAGAAGTGTTATAACAGAGGTGTATTTAACCTTGAGGGTGCGATCGTGGTTGTTGGGCAGGTGCGGCAGAGGAGGCCTGCTCTGACTCAATGTATGGTAGCTGGGATTGGAGTAGTAGTGGTGGTAACTGTGGGGGACATCTGTAGGCAGAAACAAAGGCATTAAAAGTTCATCTGCTTTTATAATTTTATCCCTTTCCCCTCATGTTTTGTACTATTCCACATTGTTCCTAATATTTATTTATTTTTTTGCTACATTTCCTCTTCTGGTCTACACACTTTTGAAATGAATAAAAATTTGACCTCTCCGTCTGGCACTTATCAAAAGAAACTGCAACAAAAATAGAAATGCAAGACTTTTTGCTCACATTTTCCATGAGGTTCAAGTCAAAGCGCTTAAACGCTGATTTTTCTCAGATGTTGTTCACAAAGCTGTCTTGCGGTTAGTGAGCACTTCTCCTTTGCTGACAACATCCATTCACCTCAAAGGTGTGGCATATCAAGATGCTGATTGGACGGCGTGATTATTGCACAGCTGTGCCTCAGGACATTTTAGATAGAGTTTAGTTATTAGATTAAACAATAACAATAACAGTGTTATCGTTCAACGAAAGTGAAAGTGAAACTGCTGGTCATTGTGACACAGCACACCATCCCCATACTCATACTGCCATACTCAGAGCACTTCAGTGGTAACTTGGCAGCTAGTGGACTCGAACCTGAAACCTTCCGGACCCCAATCCGCTTCCTAAACCGCCAAGCCACCACAGCCCCTATCATTGCAGACCAAATGAAAACTGAAACCCCAATTTCATACTTAACTTGACCCTTTCATGCATGATGGTCACTACAGTGGACAGCTATTAAAATGTCATTTACTATGATAAGAATAGGTTTTGATGGCAGTGTTGCATATAAGCCTCTACAGTGGATGCCTGAGAATCACCCAACACTGCCATACAGTGGTCAGCCTTTGTGACATTTTAATAGCTGTCCACTGTAGTGACCGTCATGCGTGAAAGGGTTAAACAATCTGTAACCTGAACAATAAAAGCAAGACTAAGACTACTAAAAAAACATACTAAAACTGTGTGTGTCAATAAGTGAGAAAACAAAATACCTGGAACTGCGTATTCAGAGTTAACGGTGCGGCCTGTAGAAAAGGAGACAGTGGGTGTGTTGTTCTGCTTGTCCTTCTGCCTGTGTCGATACAGCAACAGCAGCACCAGCAGCAAAACCACCAAAATGACGAGCACCACAATCCCACTAATGGCGCCCCACGATTCCCTGTCACCGGGAGGAAGAGGCACCATCACGCTCCCAGACTGCTCTGAAACATCTGCCGATTAGGAGATTCAAAAGTACAGTGTTTGAAAGGACATGTGAATGATTTCCTCCCATCTGCGTGTTTCTAATGACTTTAAGGCACACAAGTCATTTCTCATCTATATAAAATGTAGGGCATTTCCAAGTTACTATTTCCTGATTGGTTGCTTTTTATGCTTTTATTCCCCTAAGAGATCAAATATGTTTTTTGAAAAGGAATTTAAGATTCAAATAAATAAATGACCTCGGTTAAACAGCACAAGAAGAGTTGGGTGCCATGGTTTTTGTTGTTTTTTCTGGGTGCTTCTTCTTCTTCTTTTTCTTTCGGCTTTGTCCCTTTTTTTTTCAGAGGTTGTCACAGCAAATCGATATTGAAATTGATTTCCATCTCTCCCTGTTCTCTGTATCTTCTACTCTGATTCCAACTATCTGCATGTCCTCCCTCACTGCATCCATATATCTCCTCTTTGTAGCTCCATCTCTAACATTCTTCCACCAATGTATCCACTGTCTCTCCTCTGCACATGTCCAAACCATCTCAATCTGGCTTCTCTAGCCTTTTCTCCAAACCTTCCTGTCTTTGTTGTCCCTCTAATGACCTCATTCCTGATCCTGTCCATTCTTGTCCCTCCTAGAGAGAATCTTAGCATCTTTAACTCTGCCACCTCCAGCTCCATCTCCTGTCTTCTGCTGGTCTCACCACCGTCCTGTAAACCTTTCCCTTCACCTTAGCTGACACTCTTCTGTCACAGACTCAACTCCTGACACTTTTCTCCAGCTGTTCCATCCTGACCTGGACTCTAGTCTCCAACTCTCTTCCACAGTCTCTTATGCTCTGAACAGTTGATCCTAAGTACCTAAACTCCTGCAACCTTCACCTTCACCTCTGCTCCTTGGTTGCTTCTGGATGTAAATAATACCCATGGAAAACACAACACCTAAAGCAAGCATGGCCAAACTAAGGCCCTGGGGCCGGATGCGGCCCGTTCAGCTTTTTAATCCGGCCCGCCAAACTTGTCGGAATTCTATAATTTATTTATAATATCATTATACTTCTGCCTTTTCCCCTGTGATACACATATTTCCCTAATAGATGGCATAGGAAATGATAAAAAAGCATTTTAGCATTTTAACCTTTATGCATGACGTTTACATGTCATTTATCTTAGTGCTGAGCTTAGCCTATGCTTCCTTTTGAGTAGACGTTCATAGAAATCAACAAAAGCTCAAAAGAATCACTATTTCAAAAGGTTTAAATGTCAAAGGCATTCGTTTCTGTTACACTGTAGCTTTTCAGGCTAATAATCTCAATTAGCCTCAAGGAGTATTAAGTTAAGTTAAGTGGAGACACTTACGTTTGGAGCAGTCAGTTGAAATCCAGCCGGGCAGACATTCACAGTGACCGTCCTGATGGTCACATGTGGAATTGTTGACACACGTTATGCACACTTTAGAACACTGTTGGCCATAGAATCCAGCCGGACAAACTATATAAGACAAAATGCAATCTTAAATACTTAAGTTACAGCGTGATATATTACGCATGAGCACATCAAATACTGAACAGTAGGGGGTGTCCATTACAGTTATGAAGCCAATTATTACTATTATGAAATATAATTATGATCATGAAATGATCATACCAAACACATCAATAAGCTAGTAGTAGGGTGAATTCTCTACTAAAGAACCAATTTAATATATAGCATATCCAACTTGTATTGATGCAAATGGAGCAGTATATCATAGAAGACAAATAAATTGTTCACAAATTAGTGTTGGGAAGACCGGATCTTTTTACTGACTCGGAATCTTTTACTCCCGAACATTAAATTGAACGAATCTTGAACGAGTAACATAACGAAATGACTTGTTTAGGATTCGTTCAAGAAGTGTACCAGAATATATATATATATACATATACTGTATATACACATATATACACATATATATATACATACATATATATATACATATATATACATATATATATACATATACATATATATATATATATATATTATTTGATACTTAAATCTGTGACTTGCATGCAGTGGTTTTCAATTGTAATTGATTTGTGACTGGTCAGAAAATGTGGCAATAAATCCATTTCCAATACGGGACTATATGGACACAAATATTGAAAGAAAAGGATACTGTCCTCTTTACTCTTGTCCTGTGTGGTATCCATGCCAGGGAACAGAGTCGTGAGTCGTGAACTGAATCATTTCTGTGTTCAGTCCTGCTGACTGACCATACGCAGCTGCCTGCCATGTGGTGAGAGAAGGTACTGCACGTAAATGAACGAATCGCTCACTGAGAGGACTCATTTCTCCCGATTAGTTCATATTGAACGAATCGCTCACGAACAACACATCACTACATATTACAAATAAATAATAGCTACGAAAACAATTTGAATTTTACCCTTAGCCCCCTGAAGTAATTCTCAAATAGTGGAGTGTGTGTAGCAAATGGAGCAATGACCCAAAAAATGATCACAATACAGGCGTTTCAAGCCTCTAGTGGCCTCAAATAAAACCACATGAGAGTTCGGTTTCGGACAAATAGCAGTTCACAGACGTCATTATTCATGCTCACCTTGATTACAATTAGGTCCTGTATATCCGGGCGGGCAGTAACACTCTCCTGTCACATGATTGCAGCGGTAAGACTCTCCACAGGATGGACAAGACATGCTGCACTGCTCACCATACATGCCCGCTCTGCATTCTGGGAGACAGAAAGGTAGCAAGTCAAAGCAGATTGCTCCACACGTACGGATTGTTTCTGGTCCCTGCGTAGCAGCTAGATCTTAGCACTCACTGTTCTGACAGGTGATCCCCCAGTAGCCTGGATGACACACACATTCTCCGTTTTCCTTTTGGCAGGTGTCACTGTTAGGACAATTTTTGAAACAGGACTGATTGCAGTGAGGGCCCCACAAGCCCTCGGGACATGGCTCGCTACAACTGGAACCTGAAACAAACAGAAATGATGACGATTAATAACTCTCATTCAACTACAGTAGTAGCTTGTTTTAGTCCTTTTTTTTCACTTTATTAAAAAATACAAGGTTCATATGTTAATTTTTGATAACGGTTTGCTAGACTACTGCCTATATTTTAATAATATGTGGACTAATTATGTAGTTCATGAATGCAGAAAAATGAGGATAATTATTCAGCAGCACCACAGCAGTGGTGGCTTAGGCTTGGGACCAAAAGGCTTCAGGTTCGAGTCCAATAATTGTTGAGGACAACAAGGTAACCCTCTTTTTGTCCTTTGGGACAACAGAAGGGTTAATTAGAGAACAAAAACACATATACATATATATATATATATATACACATATATATATATACACATATATATATATACACATATATATATATACACATATATATATATACACATATATATATATACACATATATATATATACACATATATATATATACACATATATATATATACACATATATATATATACACATATATATATATACACATATATATATATACACATATATATATATACATATATATATACATATATATATATACATATATATATACATATATATATATTTTTTTTTTTTTTTTAAAGCCTTTTTAAGCAACAGACCCTCAAAAATTTCAAGCAAGAATTTCGTCGGATCCCCGGAAAACCC